CTTAGCAGCGCTGGGGCCGCACCTGAGGATTTGGGGAGGGGGCTGCTTTAAAAGGAGCTGATCCTCAGAGGGTCACAGCCCAGCTGCCCGGCTTGCAGAAGATCCTGGTTTCTGTTCTCAAAGGAGGCTGGGTTATGGGCTAAGGCAGTGTTTCTCAACCTTGGCCACTTGAAGATGTGTGGACTTCGACTCCCAGAATTCCCTGCTGGCTGGGGAATTCTGGGAGTTGAAGTCCACACACCTTCAAGTGGGCAAGGTTGAGAAACACCGGGCTAAGGACTTGTACGATCTGAAACCCTGCCCAGCAGAAGAGAATGTTTCCCTTTCGCATGCCGTGAAGTGCGCGGCATTGCTTTTAAAACCGTTCCTGTCTGCTGCTTGGTCGCTAGCGGTACCACCGAACCGTGCGGAGAAGGCCGAATCCTGCCCGCAACTGCCCGCGCTGCTGGCTGAGGTCAGAGGACCCAGCCTCAAGGACGCGATCTGCTTGACCAGATACTTTCTCTGGGGGAAAGGACCTACAGCTAAGGGTTTCCAGAGTGAAGGGAAGGAAATGGCGCGGGGGGGGAGCCTCCTTCTCACAATGAGCAGCTTGGGTGGCCACGCCTAAAGGGCACCTAGTGACACGGAGCGCTCCCATCCCGGCCTTCCTACACAATATTTGTTAATGGGCTGCCTCAAGAGCAATTCAGCCAATGGCGACTCTCACAATACCTTTTCCTAGCCCGGGAGCTGTTCCCGAGAAACGTCTGTTTGCCCAACCAGGGAGTGGCCAGGAGGAGGACGGGAAACCCAGGTCCCGGCTCCCTGAGATCGCAAGAAGCCGTTCTTTGAGGAGGAGCGTCACAAGCCAGCTTGTGATAAAACAGGGTTGTCTGGTTCCGCTCACGTTTCTTGCTGGCCACCTGCTTGACTGTACGTTTATCTGCTGCTCTTCGTCTTATCTGCTCTGTGCCATGGAAGGAAGGCTGTTTCTCGGTGCAAAAAAATCTTGCAACACTTGCCTTAAACACACCTAAAGGTGTAGGAGGGACCCTGCATCTCCTTAAGCCCCAGCTGACAGACCACAATGGCCGGGTTTGCCCAGCGCGCAAAGGCCACACCCATGCTAGCTTGGTTCAGTCCGATTAGATTTATCAATTGCCCGAGATTTACGTCTTTACCCAGTCCGTTTAATCTGGGCAGTTTGACATAAGGAAGTGACATCGTTCTAAAGAAAAAGAAGCTGTACCACTGTTTCCAAGAGCAGCTGGCCAGATGCTCTTGGAACGCTTACAAGGTATGATCTACCAATCAAAGCAATGCACAAAAAACAGGCAGGAATGCAAACTGGAAAAAAAACACAAAATATTACAAAACAATTTTGAGAGTCTCTTGTAAAACTATTCAAACAGCAGCAATTCCAATGGCTTCCACTCAGAACGGGGGCAGAAAAAACCTGGGCGCAGGATCTGTGGAAGCGGACTGGAAGCCGCTTGGCTGCAGCCAACCCGTGGACAAGGGCTCTGGCCAGTGACTCCTTTACTGGTGATTACTGGGTTCATTGTCAGGTAATCCAGAGCAGAGCCATCTTCTTAGAAGCCCTAAATGTCCTACTTCTGGGCTTCCCAACCGCATGCCTGATTGGCCACTGTGGAAGAAGGGTCTGAGAGCCCAGCAAGATTCGGGAGAAAAGATGCTTGGGTCCAGAGTGCCCCTGGTCGCTTCCTTCCCTCCCCCTCAAGAATATAGTGCCTTACTGTTCCAGTGATTTTTTCCATGATTACAAGAGTCTCAAGAACATCAGAAGGGACTTGAAGTCTCCGGGCATCTAGCTGGCTGCCTCCCAGAAGCCCCAAGGCAGAGGGTTTCCTAGCATACATGGGACCAGCCCATCTCACAGACTCCATCTTGCCCCTTTGGGTCACCACCTGGCAGAGGTCAGGGGTCACTTGGGCATCTCCCCACTTCTCAGCTTCAGAGCCCTCATGTCATTCCCCTCGTGTCATTCCCCTCCGTTCCCTGTCAAAGGCCAAAGGGGAGCTTCTCCAGAAAAGGCTAATCATGCTGGAGGACTGTCATGCAGCCTCCCCCTCCTCCCTGTTAGCCAACTTCCAGCCTGGGAAGCCAGAGCCCGAGCTGGCGAGACGATGGCACGAGAGCCTTGGCCAAACTTTCCCCCACCTGAAGAGATCCTGGCTCTTCCTCCACACCAGGGACAGGCTAGGAGATGAGAGGCTCAGGAAGCCAGCCGTGCTGAAGAGAAGCAGGGCAACCGGTTACATCAGAGGCTAAATTCACGTACCTCTTTCTCATAACAAAGCTCTGCTCTGGAAATAAACACAGTCCCAGATGACTCTAAACCTGAGCATGTGCAGAGGGCAGTGGTTTTACTGCTCATCAGATAGATAGATAGATAGATAGATAGATAGATAGATAGATAGATAGATAGATAGATAGATAGATAGATAGATAGATAGATAGATAAATAGATAGATGTATCATCCTCTCTCTCTATATATATATATATGTCTTCCTGAGCTGGGCACCCTTCAGAGATTCTGCAGGCAACTCCCGTTTTCTGGACGGGAGTCCAAGAGGCAGCCTCTTCAGCCGAACACTTCCACCTCTTACTGTCTT